AAAAGTCACTTTTTTGCCTTCAATCTATATCTATACTACTAATAAAAGGAAGTTAAGTGAAAAAAATTTTGATTGACTATTATATCCCTATTAAAAAGGTTAAAATCAACTATATCCTTACGTATTTAATTATTAAATATTCAAATGACCTTTCATAGACTTCTACTTGCACACAAAATTATTGTTCCTTGTTGTGTACATTTACTTATTTCACAAGTTGATGACTCCCTCTCTCCCAAATTATTTTAATCAACCATTATCTAATTCTATTTTTGCAGCCACTTAATTTCCTATTGATTCATTGATATACTTGTACATGATTGTTCAAATAATAGTATATAAAAATCACTATTTTACATTCAATAATTGGACTTTTAATCCTTCCTCCAATATATACCGTAAAAGTTTCAAGTTTGTTTCATTTAGTTTTTGACCTTTCAAATTCAAATTTAATATTGATTAGCCGATTTGAACCTTTTTATTTCATACACATTCTCTTTTCTTTTGTAACAATCGAAACACAAAAGTCAGAACACTCCTACAGTTGTTAAGTTCCACAATTATGTGATTTATTTTCTTTATTTCTCTTTCCACCAATCAATTGATCTCACTTTTTGTGCTTGTTTTTTGTATTTTGTGTCTGAATATGTATGTTCCCTTTATTTTCTAATTCTAATTAAGGTTTGTTCATTTTGACAGTGAAAAAAACTCAATATCTAAGAGTGGCGGATTGTGGATAACATATGAAAATGAGGACTTGACATGAGGGATGGACAAAATTTGCATAGTTTTGTTCAATCTCACTATTTTGTATTGATTTTGACTAGATAAATGTTAGAAGAATTGGGCAAATTTAGTGGAGTTGATCAATGTAGATATAGGCTCTCAATAATATATGATCAAGTACAAAACACAGAGAAATAATTTATCTAAACACAAGAATATTGTTATTTACTAAGATGTACAAATCCTCTATACTAAGATAACATAAACTTTATATAGCTATCTATTATTTTGTTTAATATAACATAACTATTAGACATGTTCATGCACTCATTCCTCATAATTTTAGGAGGTAAATTTATCTAATTTATTGTTAGTTTTAGCCTTGCTCACTAGCCATCTCCTCAAGGTGCAAAGACTATAATAGTGAAATGCACAAAAATCTAAACAAATTAGGAAGATGAAATAACTTCGGCCACCTGACACTGTACTTAATCAAGGCTATGAAAAAAATGAAGAAAAATTCTTTGTCAAAAGGTTGCTTCTAGAGTCTTGACAACCTCTTAATTTTAGTTAGAAACCCATTTTATTTTTTAGATGATAGCAAATAAAGTAAATTGAAACAAAACATTTATTTTTTTCTTGGAAGTTTGAGGGTATCGAATCAATCTTGATAAAAACTTAGGATGTGTTTCTCTTAGAATAAGAAAATAAAACTATAATTTAAAATATTTCATGTGCAATGCACGTGTACAACAATTAATATTATCAAAAAGAGTGTAAAAACATCATAAATCTATCATATTTAATTGAATATGGATGAAAACAGAGATATAGGTAACCCTAACCCTAAATGAGTGAATTTAAGAAAGAATCCATACCTTGATTCACGAATATATGATCTTACCACGTTTTTTGTGCGATTCATGCATGTTAATCCATCAAGATTTTGCTCGTTTTCCGTTCTCCCAACTCTCCTTCGCCTCCTAAGGTTGAAAATAGCTTAAACTGGCCTAAAAAAAATCTCTAGGGCTTATATATCGTGAAAAACAATTCAAACGGCATGGCCTAATCCTGCAAAATTGCGCAAGCGCATTCGAACGGAGAGCTTGGAGTTCAAATGGTGCCTAGGGCGTTCGAATGGAGTCTTTGGCATTTGAATGGGCTTTACTCCTAATATCTCTTGTTTTCTACTAAAAAACTCATTAGACAGGTCATTCAAATGAATTCATTCATGTTTGAACGGGCTCCATTTTTTACCTGAACTTTGAAAACAATGGCCTAATTAGAGGTTGATTTACGAAATTTTCTTAAAACACTTTTATAGTTCTTGAAGTCTAGTTTCTAATGCTCAAAAATTAGATCAATCGGAGATTGGAGTAAAAAATTATGAGCAAAATAGTGAGGTAACATCAAATTTTGCTCTATCCGAATTCTCCCTAAAATTCATTTTAACTCCGAAATACTTTTAAACTTCTAATACACCTCATATCACATATCTCAAGGTTCTTTCAACCTTTTGGAACTATTTTTTATGTTTATTTTCTCTAAATATGTTTAAAACATAACTAAATTCATTTTTCCTAAAAGTGGCAATCTCGAAACTTCATTCTTCTCAACATATCTAAACTATTTCTATAATCACCACGTACATAGTTTATTCATCGTTAATTCATTCTACATCAATATAGTATATAATAATTTAATATAACATAAAATAATTACTTGGGAGCTTACATAAATCTATTAGATCTTAAAATAAAGAAGTCAATACAAATTTAATTAAACACAACATGAATTCACTGAATATGACTTAGGGTGTGCTTGTTAACCCAGCACTTATTAATTAAGTCCGTTTGATAACCAAAATTTAAACTCTCTTAATATGTTAAGTACTCCTTAAAAATAGGCTACAATATTAAGTAGGCGATCCCTTACTTAATTCTGAAAGTTGAAAGTGCTCAATAAAATCATCTTTAATAATATTTACAATATGACAATTATACCCCGAAATATTTTACAATCTTATTAAAACTTTAAATAGTGTCTTCTCTTCAAAACCTTTAATCTATATATTCTCCTTGTCAATCTCTTTTTTTTTTCTTTTCCTTGTCTTCTGTAACAAAAATATACATACATAATTATAATTACACACACAAATGACGCACTACACACACAGACATATGCACTGCACACACAAATACTTATACATAGGTGCACACACATATTGTTAATAAAATCTACTTTTATTGTATTTTTTCAATATTATTTGATTATTTATTAGTTATTGTTATTTTTTTTATGAGATGTTATTATTCACTTATTATGTTATTCAATTTGTTATTGTTCACTTGTTGTCTTATTCAAATATTATTTATTTATTTTAATCAAATATTTGTTAAATGTAGACTACAATATAATAATAGTGATTATGATTTATGTTATGACATATTTTATAAATATTTTTAAATTAAAGAGTGGAAGGGTAAAATTAAAAATTAATTTATTTTCAGACGTCAGCTCTGTGTAGTTATCAAACTATTTAGTTCAATTTAATACTTAAATTTCAATAAATACCAAACATTCTACAAATTCAACTTTCAGCTTTCAGACTTCAGTTTTCAATTTTATGAAACATCACCTTATTTATAATAAGAAGTAAATTACACTTTTGTCCCCTCATCTATGATTTTTTTTTCACATTGTGCCTCTAATTATAATATTTTTTACACTATATCCTCAATTATGTGATTAGTTAGACACCACCACTCCAATTACTAATGTCCGTTGTAGGTTTAACAAAAAAATATTTCAATTTATCCCCCAGACTATATTATTTTTTTCACTTTGTCAAGATAATTAGTGATTTTCCAAAAACATAATGACCATTTTCATTTGGGTCAATATAAAATAATTCAAGTAGTTGAGGGGTGAAATGTAAAAACATTAGTAGCTCAAGGGATAAAGTGAGATTAAGCCATAGTTTAGGGGATTAACATATAATTTATTCATTCAATTATAAATTTAATGTATTTTTCTCTTAAATTTAATAAATATTAACACGACACACTTTTTTTTTTCAACGGTCAAAAGTGTTCGGATCAATTTACATGCATTTCGATTAATCTTTTTTTTAATCTAGTCAAAGACAAATCATTTATATCAAAATTAAGATATTCATGAGAGATTAATCACTCATACCCGAGACCCTGAGAGCTTGTTTGATTGTCGTATTAAAATTGAATGGATTAGATAAAGTAATACAGTCTAATACAATACAAATGAATTAAAGATAAGATTAAATATGATATTAGAATAACACATAATTTTATCTAGTGTTTGACAATACACAATATAAGCATTGGATAACAGTTATTTAATCTAATCTGTTGTTTGGATAGAGAATTATTTCATCGTATTAATATTGAATTAACAAAAATACATTTAATCTGTGTTTATTTCATTGATGACAACTTGAATTTATCACTTGGGGGTTATAATAGTAAATGTGTAGAATAATACGTTTGAGTTGAATTATAATACCACCTCTTTTATGGTATTAAAAAACCTACACAATACATATTTATCATATAAAAAATATACAATTTTAAAATTAATACGATATCAAATTTATTTATCAAATAAAATATTAGACTCAATTAAATAAAAAATAATATAATTTAATATTTAATTCTCTTATAATACGTATATCAAACTAGTCGTAAGAGATCGGTAAGGACACGACACACTTTAAGCATGTTACCAACAGGATACAATATGATCTAACGGAGATGGGGGAGGGTGTGCAGCGCACTGCGTGCTTTGAAGCAGTGAGCACGTGACAATGTATACCTCCAGCCTTCTCGTCAACTCTCTCCGTATACTCACGTTATATACGTACACACACACACAGATGACGAGAGAGAGAGACTTTAAATACGGCTGTATAAATACAAGCAGCACACCTCTAAAATCCTCTTCCATCACTCTGTTTGATTTTCACACCCTTTTCTGTGATTTTCTCTCTGTAGCTTTCTCTGGCATGGAGATTTGGGATCAATTTGGGAACTAGGGCACGGACTCTTCTTCGATCGATGCTATTAACTCTTCGCGGAGATGTGATTTCAAGGGGATTTCGAAACGTTTGACTGTTAGGAGCAACGAAATTGTACAAATTTTAGTTAATTTAGTATCAGACTTATCTAGGGTTACTAACCGAAAAGGGAAAAAAAAAACTCGTCTAGGGTTTGTTTTGGGTTTGTAAGAAAAGGGCACGCATGAAGGGTCCGTTAGATCGAACGAAAGTCGTGATACGGCACTTGCCGCCTACGATTTCGCAGTCAATGCTCATGGAACAAGTGGATACCCGCTTCGCCGGTCGCTACAACTGGGTCTCATTTCGTCCCGGCAAGAACAGGTTACAGTTTCTATGCATATATTTTATGAGAAATTTATTTTTACTTATAGATATGTTGGTTTGATTGCAACTACACTCCATTTTACTGCTATATTTGAATTTATCATGTATTTGTTTACGCTAGGGTTTTCCGTTTTGAATTCAATGGAATTTTATGGGAAATTTCATCACTCAGTGCTATGTGAACTCTTGGATGAGTTCTAACGCATGTTGGCTTCTGAGCGTGGACTGTGGAAGTATGGGTTTTTGGAGGGCGTGGTATGCTTCAGACTATTTTTTGAGTGCACGTTGGTTTGGGGTGTTAAACTATTTTTGGTATTCAGAGGCTTCAGTATACTTAATTTGAGTTTTGAATGGGTTCTGGCTGTGGGTGCCGAAATTATTGGTTCTGCGAGGGTTTTTTCTGGCTGTGGGTGCCGAAATTATTGGTTCTGCGAGGGTTTTTTGTGCCTCATCCTACATTTGAGGGTTACAGTTGAGGGCTATAGAGATCACTGACCTTTAGAGTGGCATGAATGTTTGAAAAATGCTGGATGGTAAATTGATAATGCAAAAGGTGGCAGATTGACATCAGAAATGTTGGCAGGATGGCCCGTAGAATTTATATACAGAAGGGGGAAGATGGGTGCCGAGTGATACATTATGAAATATAAAATATAAATGATGGAATCTTTAGATTAAGTTTGAAAAACACCATCTTGATTGATACTTATGTATGCATTATCATTTCTCTTTATGCTTCCTGGGGATTATGTAAATTGTCTGGCTTCGAAATTAGAACACCCTGACACCATGCTACTGTGAAGTGAATAAGTGTTCCTAATGCTTTGTTTTGGGGAATTTTATCACACTTGCAATGCTGTTTCCAACAATATTGAATTAATTTTTCCAAAATCATTAGGATGATAATAGTTCCCCCCTTTTATCTCTAATGAATATATGGTACCATTTTGCACCTACTAAGAAATGGTTTTCACTTTGAGACATATCTTTATGGGTTCTATTAAAAATGAAAAAAAGAGAGAAATATCTTTAGGGGAAATACTTTTCCCGCTTTCCTTTAAGAGGAGATGAATTTATGATAACATTGATTTTTTGCTAAGTTATCTATCTAATATTGCAGTTTGAAAGTTGAGTTGTGAACTTATAAAAGTACAATGACGATTAAGATTGATCCAATTTTTATCTACTTTGATTCAATAACATAAAATTCATCCAATTTATTTTCCCCTCAAAAGCATCATTTGCATTGCACTGCTGACCCTCGAACCAATATAATCCCCAGTACCAAACCAACCTATTAATACCCACCTACTTCTCTCTTATTTTCTTTTTATTCACTTTAGTTTTAAGTTATGTAATTAAAAAAAATAAATTAATTTTTAGAATATAGATGTTGCATGATCAATACTCACTTTTTTGTATTACAAAGCATAGTTATCAAAATTGTACGATTCGCGATTCGATTCGTACGATTCGGTTATAAAACGATTCGTACCTTGTATGAGAATCATTTTAAAGTTGAATCGCACCTGAATCGTATGATTCGATTCATACTGCACGATTTGTACAATTCAATTCGTACCGCATGAATTGCATGATTCAATCACTTTTTTTTTTACAAAACGACGTCGTTTTGTCTGCTAAACAGTAAAACGACGCCGTTTTGTTTGCAAAGGAATTCACGCCCTAATAAAAACTCAACCTTTTTGCTCGTTCTCTCTCTGACGCCGTTTAAAGCTTGCCTTGCGTTGTCTAAAGTTAAAGGTCATGACTAATGCTCTCGTATCATCGGTTGTTTTTTACTCTCAATTTTTTCATGGGTAATTTGTTAGGTTCTAATTTTTTGTTTTAAAATGTTAGTATGTTTCTCCCAATTAAATTTCTTATTTANAAAGGTCATGACTAATGCTCTCGTATCATCGGTTGTTTTTTACTCTCAATTTTTTCACGGGTAATTTGTTAGGTTCTAATTTTTTGTTTCAAAATGTTAGTCAGTATGTTTTCTCCCAATTAAATTTCTTATTTGTTTTTTTTTCATTTATATTTGTAACCTAATCTATACTGGGTATCACTATTTTGTTTCTTAAATAGTCATGGTTTTTTAATGAATTTTGTAAGTTGTTGAATTTGAAAATATTTAAGCAAAAAACAAAAATGAAGTAAAAGGCTAGCGTCTTTTTATTTAGACAACGTGATTATGTGATTTGATTATTTTTAGAATGCAATAATGTTCAATATTCAATATTTTGTCTATTTTAAATATGTAATATTTTTTATTTTTGTTTAAATTTTTTGTCGAATCTTACGATTCACGATTCTTAAATTTAGAATTTTGATTCACGATACGAATTGCGATTTGACAACTATGTTATAAAGTATCTTCAGATATGGGTTATTGCTAGTTCATATGTATGGACACTCAAATTAATCTGTGTAGTGTTTCTTACACATTTCTTTTTCGGCTAATCTACTTTTGCAGTCAGAAGCGCCAATTGNTTAGACAACGTGATTATGTGATTTGATTATTTTTAGAATGCAATAATGTTCAATATTCAATATTTTGTCTATTTTAAATATGTAATATTTTTTATTTTTGTTTAAATTTTTTGTCGAATCTTACGATTCACGATTCTTAAATTTAGAATTTTGATTCACGATACGAATCGCGATTTGACAACTATGTTACAAAGTATCTTCAGATATGGGTTATTGCTAGTTCATATGTATGCACACTCAAATTAATCTGTGTAGTGTTTCTTACACATTTCTTTTTCGGCTAATCTACTTTTGCAGTCAGAAGCGCCAATTCCATTCTATAGCATGCATCAACTTTAAGAGGCCAGAGGACGTCATTGAGTTTGCCGAATTCTTTGATGGACATGTTTTTGTCAACGAGAAGGGTATTTCTTTGGCATATATTCTTTTATCAAGATAACTTGTTGACATATACTTTGAAAAGCTTGATTGAGAATCTTAATCTTGTTGCAATAAATATTGTGTTAAAAATTATGAATTGGTTTTTTTGAAAAAAGAGATTTATGTATGAAGAAGGTAACAAAGATTTGTCTCTTCTGACACATAGGAAGCACAAACACTTAATTTTGGCAAGTGCCAGATGGGCCTGGGACACGTACACGCTCGGACATGTGTTAGACATGCTAAAATGAGTGTCTGATTTTTTTAATTGTTATAATTTTTTCGAACACGTTGGGGATATGCGACCGACACACCTGAGACACGTTGGGAACATGCGATTGGCACGTTAGAGGACACGTTTTGGGCTTTTTTTTTNGACACATAGGAAGCACAAACACTTAATTTTGGCAAGTGCCAGATGGGCCTGGGACACGTACACGCTCGGACATGTGTTAGACATGCTAAAATGAGAGTGTGATTTTTTTAATTGTTATAATTTTTTCGAACACGCTGGGGATATGCGACCGACACACCTGAGACACGTTGGGAACATGCGATTGGCACGTTGGAGGACACGTTTTGGGCTTTTTTTTCGAATTTTTTAAAACTTGTCAAGTAACTTTATATATAAGAGAATTATTTTTGTAATTTTTTAAAAAATAAGGGTCAAAGTTATAGTATAAAAGAGTTACAATTACTATACGAATATAGGACATCGATATAATTTTGATTTTAAACACGATTATGAAATTATATACAAATAGAATAAACTTTTTCTATGAAAGTAATTTGATGAAAAATAAAGTCATGAAATTAGGGTTTTTTGAAATTGAATGAAAATTAGGGTTACGAAGGCAAATTTTTTTAGAAGTAAAAATTTTAGTAGTCATTGATGNAGAATAAACTTTTTCTATGAAAGTAATTTGATGAAAAATAAAGTCATGAAATTAGGGCTTTTTGAAATTGAATGAAAATTAGGGTTACGAAGGCAAATTTTTTTAGAAGTAAAAATTTTAGTAGTCATTGATGGTTGGATCATGAATTTTTATCTTATATTTGATTTTTTTTTTTTAATTTGGTGATATCATGATGTCAATTGTTAGAATTAAGAAAATGATGAATTGAATGATTATTGTTATTGTTTTTTTGTTTTATCATATGATCACACACACATATATATATATATGATAGGGAATGTTCAGAGTTGATGATTCTTCTCATTATGTTTAATAATGTTACTTTGGTTCAAAATTTTATGAATAGGAGGTGTTGGATTAGTAATTAATTGGGGTCCTTTTCTTGTAAATCGTTTTTTGAATCTTTAATCAATATTCCTTTGCTTCCATTATTCTATCCATCATTGGGGGTCTTTTCTTGTAAGTTTGTGGATGATAATTTTTCATGCTAAGATTAGTACAAATGAGGTTCTTGAAAAGAGGAGACCAAATTTTGGTCTTAAACCACAAGGTTGTGTTATATGTAGAGGTGATATTAATAATTTGGATCACTTATTTTTGCATTGTCCTTTGGTGTTAGCATTCTGGAATAAGCTTTTTGACTTAATGGGAATTGCATGGGTTGCTCCAAGGAATATAACATCTATGTTTTGCTTGGAAGATGTGTGTTTTGGGGGAAATAGTGAATGGAAGACCATTTGACATAATGTTTTCTTTGCTACATTATGGATGATTTGGAAGGAAAGAAATGTGAGGATTTTTTAAAATAAATGTGAAGATTTTGAGGATTTATGGAAAAGACTTTTACCCTGTTTGGTTTGCGTTTCAAAACATTAGTATTCGAAAATAATTTTTGAGAAGTGTTTTCAGGAAGTATTTTTGAAAATTTTTAAATTGTAAAACTTGTTTGGTAATATATTTTTGAAATAGTTTTAAAGAACAAAAAATTGTAAAACTTATTTGGATAATAATCCACAAAATTCCCAATTCCCATCTCTCCCTTTCTTTCCCCTCTCTCTCTCCACAAAAAAAAATACACACAAACATACAGTAAAAATACACAGTAAAAACACACATATACACTCACACAAAACCCACATATACACACACAAAACCCACATATACACACGCTCAACCCACATATACACACACTCAACCCACATATACACACACATACAACCCACATATATATACACACAAATTTATATATATACACAGATCTATGTATATATATAGATCTGTACATATATCTATATATATTTGTTGTGCAAGAAGATACAAGAGAGAGAGAAAGAGAGCAGACGAGACAGAGAGAAGACAGATCAAAAGTTGATTTGATTTGTGTTAGTTCCACTCAAGATCTGAAGCCAAATGCCTAAAAAAAAAAAACCGGAGAGGAAATGTTGAACCTAGATCTTGTGTGTGTTTCACAGCGGAAAGTTCTTCAGCTTCTTCAAGAACTGAGCGGTTGATTCGGGTGGGGAGGAGTGTGGGAAGAAGACGAAGAGAACGAAGAACACCCAGATCATGTGTGTGCTTATAGAGAGAGAGAGAGAGAGAGAGAGAGGAGGGCTAAGGAAGTTCATTGGGTTGAAGAGGAGGGCTTTTATACTTAAAGTCAAAAAATGTTGTTTTGCTACAAAGAAAGCTTGATGGGTGAACCTCAATAAAGAGGAAGAATTGTTTCCCCTATTTTCTATTTTGGCTTGAAAACTCAAAAAACATCATTTAGGTGTTCTGTAGTTTTTGTTCTCAATTCTCACTTTTTTTGAAAAATTATTTTTAGAAATTGCTAATCAAACAACATCTCAAGAGTTTTTACTGGTTTGAGAACCGAAAATTGTTTTCGAAACACAAACCAGACAGACCCTATATTTGTTGGCTTCTTTTGAGCATCAATTTCCAAGGAGTTTCAAGATATTCCTTTATTTTGTATTAGAACAAGCTGTAATGCTTCGTGCGGCTTATAATTTTCTTTATTTTCTTTCATTTCTATAGGCCTATCTTGTGTTGGACTTTTGTCCACACGTGATGTGGTTTTCTTGTAATGTTTCCTTTAGCTATCAATAAAGTGTTGTTTCTTATTGAAAAAATTAACTTCGCGTATGCATGCCTTATTTTTGTCCTGTGCTCGTGCCCGTGCTTCTGCTTCTTAGTGTGACGCCAATGGCTCAAAGAAATGTTTTTGTTGTTGGTTGATGTGACAAAAAGCTATTTTTATTTTTCAGCTTTTCCTCTGCCCTTCCTCTTCTAAAAAACTTTGTTGAATTTGACATCTTATTTGGACTGTGATTCACAGGCACTCAATTTAGAGCTATGGTTGAGTATGCTCCTTCACAGTGTGTTTCAAAACAATGGTCTAAAAAGGATGGACGTGAAGGGACCATATTTAAAGGTATTGAAATGCTAAGATGGTTGCTGATAGCATTTGGTCTACATGCCAACATTTCCTTATCTGCTATCACAATTAATTCCTTGATGAACATGTAGATCCTGAGTATCTGGAGTTCCTTGAATTTATTGCGAAGCCCATTGAGAATCTTCCCAGTGCAGAAATACAGCTGGAGAGAAAGGAAGCAGAGCGAGTTGGTTAGTGGAACACTTCTAAATTATGTGCTTCGTGTGCTTAATTAATATTTTGTTCTAAGAGAAACAAGTAAATATTTTGTGTTATTCATACTTAAGTTTTTCTCTCTTGAACTTCTAGGTACTGTGAAAGATGCTCCGGTAATTACTCCTTTAATGGATTACATTCGTCAGAAACGAGCTGCTAAGGGTGGAACACGGGTACACACTTTTGTCATTTGTATTTATTGGCACAAAAGTTGAAGATCATTGATCACATAATTACATACTGGTCCCATTGTAAATCGCTTTCTTATTTGTAGGGTTATATTATATTTATTCTTAGTGTTGAAGAAGCAATTGGTCAAGCTGGTGCTTTTTCCTTCTTCCTCCTCTGTTGCATTGCAGGGTTCTTACATGCAATTTGAAGTTGTTTGTTGGATGCAGAAAATTGCAAAGACCGAGAAATGCTATAATCAGATGAATAGGTGCATGATTTGACTCATTTTCATCAGTGCCCAATGTTGAGGACCAGGGAAACGATTAATTACTCTAAGTTGAAGCAATTAGTTACTCAAGTAGAAAACGTCTGTATGAAATANAAGGGTGGAACACGGGTACACACTTTTGTCATTTGTATTTATTGGCACAAAAGTTGAAGATCATTGATCACATAATTACATACTGGTCCCATTGTAAATCGCTTTCTTATTTGTAGGGTTATATTATATTTATTCTTAGTGTTGAAGAAGCAATTGGTCAAGCTGGTGCTTTTTCCTTCTTCCTCCTCTGTTGCATTGCAGGGTTCTTACATGCAATTTGAAGTTGTTTGTTGGATGCAGAAAATTGCAAAGACTGAGAAATGCTATAATCAGATGAATAGGTGCATGATTTGACTCATTTTCATCGGTGCCCAATGTTGAGGACCAGGGAAACGATTAATTACTCTAAGTTGAAGCACTTAGTTACTCAAGTAGAAAACGTCTGTATGAAATAGCAGATGTCTGGCATAGAAGCCAATTGGGTTAGATAAAAGAGTTTACACCGCATAATGTGCCTCCTAGGCGGAAACACTTACATAGGTATTCTAAGTGATGTTTATTAGAAATTGATCAGGGTGAATGTATGGGTCCTTTGGTCTGTTGGTGTGTGAATGACATTCGGAGGCTTTTGGGTGGTGATATGGAATGAACAGGGGGTTTTGAAATGTAGTAATAAATATTCTTGGACATTGGATTATTATGCTTTAATGGTCTAACCCAATTCTGCTGTGAGCACCTTGGAGTTGATCTTAAGGCTAAAAAGCTCTTCTTAAAGAGGATTATTAAAAAGGTTCTGGTGAAGGTGAGGGATTTGTTACACTAGTGACCTAGTCAAGGGTTAAGTTTGGAAGGTTTAAAACGAGGAATCATTAGTTATTTGCTTCGACAAGCATCTAATAGGGTGCTTAAAATTTAGATAATTGATTAAGAAGGTGCCTCTGCTATCCAGAAATTGTGGTGCAGGTGGAAAAGGGTATAAAAAGATGTAGGAAAGATCTTGTGGTGATTATGAATAAGTGTTTTTGGATTCTGTGCAATAACTGTGGGAAGTACACTGAAAAGTGAACCAAGAAAAGGAGCAAATATTCCAGGTTTGACCAAATTGTGTCGCTTTATGATTATAATAAGCTTTGAGACTGAACATTCACAAAACATTTATTGATGATCTTAAATGAGGCTTCTAGCTTTGTGGCATGGAATATTGGATTTGAGAGCCTGTGTGGAAACTTTGCAGCGGTCCCTTTATTTTGGACTCCGTCTCTATACTATACTAGAGATGACAAAGCAATAAAATGGGAGGGCATGGGCCGATGCGACTGGGTTTTTTCACATATATTGATGAAGATGAATATGGTTGAAAATGTAATGGATTTGAGGGGCGTTGAATAGTCAACTTACATTGTTGGCACACAAATTCTGTGTATTTGTTAGGATGAGGTAATTATTGGTGGAAGTTAATGTTTGACTCTTGTTGGACTCCTAAATTTTCTTTCTTTTTTTTTCCTTTTTTCCCTGACAGATCCTGATTAATTTATAGCTTAAAGAGTCCTTCAATTGTGTTATCTTCTCGTTTTTACTGTTTAAAATTTATGATTTACAATCTTAAGTGTAATTTTATGACTGCCCATGTGATTATATTTTTGATGAGCTTGCTGCCTTATGGTAGTATGTCCTAATGCATGCCTCGGTATTGTTCTGTGATCTTTGACAGAGATCTTTGACTAATGGGAGACAGACCAGAAGGGCTNGTGATTATATTTTTGATGAGCTTGCTGCCTTATGGTAGTATGTCCTAATGCATGCCTGGGTATTGTTCTGTGATCTTTGACAGAGATCTTTGACTAATGGGAGACAGACCAGAAGGGCCAGTGGAGCATCAACTGGATTTCCTAGTTCTGCTTCATCAAAACGAGGCTCTGAAAGGAGAAGGGTTTCTGCAGCCATGGTATTCAATTTTTCTCATAAATTTGGAACATTTATGATGGTGCAAACAGATAAAGTAGTTGGTGTTGTGGGTTGGAAATTTGTTTTGTAAGATTGATAGTGTGTGGTACTTTGGGTGGCAACAATGACGGTCCAAGCAGTCAAACCTGGTTCTTGAATAGTGCGTGGGTAATTTCTCTATGAAAGCAATAGTTTTTTTNTACTTTGGGTGGCAACAATGACGGTCCAAGCAGTCAAACCTGGTTCTTGAATAGTGCATGGGTAATTTCTCTATGAAAGCGATAGTTTTTTCNGCAACAATGACGGTCCAAGCAGTCAAACCTGGTTCTTGAATAGTGCGTGGGTAATTTCTCTATGAAAGCAATAGTTTTTTTGGATGCCATAGTTCACATTTATCTCATTTTTAGTTTGCCCTATGGTATTGGTATGACCTGTTATGGTACACCAATGATTTTCACCTTCTAAGTTATGATAACTTCTACTTTCAGTCACCACAATGTTGATATTATCATTGGTATTCATACACTTGCTAATTTGTGAGAACTCATCAATATCTGCTCAAATATGTTGTTCATACACAATGTTACCTAGATCGTGGGTCAATATGGTACGTGGTATTGGTACGGGTACGCGGTATGATACATTTTTTGATCCGCAATACTATTTGGTAGGTTTAATTGGTATGCTATATTAGGTTGTGGTTTGTTTTCTGTAATATATAATTATACATTCATATACACATAATTAGCTAGTATTTATTTGAGGTTTGGCCGTTTGAGTTACAATTTGGGTATGGAATTTAAGCGATTTGGATCGCGAACCCACCCCATTTCGGTTCGTGGGATGGTATGGGAACTATGGTCCTGGTATCTATCATACGTTTGACTGATACACAAGACTACATATTTTGATTTTTAATTGTGATTTTATTTTTTTATACTCATTTTATTGGTCGCTATTATACTTTTATGGAATGGTAGTAGGTTGAGATTGCTTTCACTTCTTATCGATTGGTTGCAATGGAATTTTTGTTTCATTGGTCATGATTCTCATGACCTGCAGTTGCCTTGTATCATGTTGAACACTTATTTTTAGTTTGATCAGCAATAATAACTTTATTTATAATAGAAAAGCGTAGCATGAGGATGAGAAGTCCTTCATTGTGCAAAAGATAAAAAACAAGAAAACAAGTGGATACTAAAACCCAAAAAGAGGCCAAGAAACAATCTGTTTCCTAAATATGTTTCCTCCTCATTTTTATCGTAAAAAATCCTTTCATTCTTTTTCCCTATAGAATAAAAAATTAGCTGACACAGCATGGTTTCATAGAGATCGAGCTTTTTTACCCTTTCCAAAAACTCAAAAATCAATCTTAACCATTTGCTACTTGAAGCTGGTGAATTCCAACTCAACTCTCTTGGCCCAAATAATCTTCTCCAAAGTGATCTAGCAACGCGGCAATTAAGAAAGAGATGATCGATGCTCTCAGCATTTCTTTTTTCACATCACAAACCACTGAGGAAGCAAAAAAAGATAAGGTCTTCTCCTTTGAAGTATACCATTAGAATTGAGTTCCTTTTGAGCTACAATTCAAGAAAAAACTTGAAATTTAAGAGGCACCTGTGCTTTCCAAATCATTTTAGAGGGGGCATTGAAACAAGCTATAGATTTTTGTTTTCTTTGTGTGTTTCTTAAGCTGTTCTCTATTTTGTTGCATTCCCTGTCCTACAGGAAGATATTTGTTCTGCTATTGGTTCTCCAGTTTTCTGGCATTTGACTAAGTGGATGTGCATAATTAAGAAAAGTTTAGATGATGAAGTTCTGGTTGTTGACTCTCCCCATATGACTGACAGTATGTTTTAAGAGACACTGCAAAGAGTACCAGTGGCCAGGACAAATCAACTTATGTTCTGGTTTCTAAACGAGATGATCAGCAGCTTTCTGACAAGTCTGTTCCTACAATTGCTGCATCTGGAGCTGAAATGTTGGAGGAGGAAAGTGGTATGGCTCATCATTGGGATTCTCGCTTTTTGTGTAGTGATTTGATGCATTTTTATGTTGTTTAATTTTATACCCTGTATGCATCCATACGAACAGATGCTTATTTGAGATGGGTGCAAGGTTTCCAACAAGTTTGCAGGGCCGTGAAGTTATATGAATTGTGATATTTTTTGTTTACTTGCTGAGCCATTATATTTGTCCGTCGTTGGAACTTAAAACACACTTTTCAGTTCTTTTTTGGTGATTTCAAATGATGGCTTGGAGTTTATCATGCTAGAAGTGGAATTTGTTTGCTTAAATGTATCATTTCTATTAGAACAAACTGGTTGTGTTTCCAAATTTGAAGACATTCATGAACAAATTGAAAACTTGGAAAGTATGAATTTATGTGGGGTAAGATCTTTCAATGAATATATAGGGCTGAATGGGAAATAGCAAGTGTGCAGCAAACATGGAAAAATAAATGCTATTAACTTGTAGAGGATCATCACCTCCTAATTGTGTAGTTGAGTTCTTGAGCCCAAATGTTCATCAAGTGTAACTTAACTGTACTGCTGCCTCTTCTGATACGGTCTTGTTTAAGTTTCTAAATATAGCAATCCTTTTGCTTGTACTCTGTGTTTTACTTTATCTCATGATTCAACAACTGGAAAGTAGGAAATATTTATTGTAGACTGCTTCAAGATTAAAATATTGCCTAATTGAGGGAATTCAGTATTTGAAATTCGAAATTCGAAATATTGGGGTATGTCCCTACACGTCTGTACCTAGTTTACTCCAAGCAATACAATGTTACTTTCCGGAAAATTGCAATATCGTCTCGCAGAACTCTTATGCATATGGATCCGAACCATGCGAAAAAGCATCTTAAGGGGGTATGGTGGTTCTAAACTGGCTCATCTGTAAGTTCGACGCGTGAAGGAAGGACTTAAATTAGGTATTAAGGATGCACATTTCAATCCAAGCCTCAGCATACACAAGTTGTCAACATGGACACTTCGATTTGCAGTGAAGTATCTGTGTAGATACATATTGGGTCTCGACACCCAATGGATACATGAGAATACGTCTCCATATGTCTCTTACGAGACAAGTAATTTGGTAAAATATGTTGTCATTGTTGGATCCTTTCAAATATGCCTTAGATACACGTAGCTCTGTGATAGATACATGCTCACTGTACTTTGTTGTACTTACTGAAGTAATTTGTGTTGATTTGAACTGGTCTATGGGTCTAAATTCGTGCTCAAGACAGATATAGAGGAGTGGAGCTGGTTGGAAGTTCCTGGTAGACCTGCTATGGACAATTGTTTCGTTTGAGAAGATGAGTGGCTTCACAGGCCTTGGGCAGAGTGGTATTGGGCTGAATCTTTTCGAAGGGTTTTATAGCTTGCTTGAGCTGATTGATTAGGTGCTATGGCTTACAGTAAAACCAAGTATCCACATTTCAATTAGATAATGAGTCCAAGTTGGGGCCTCTTGAATAATGGCTCATGTCCAGCTTTAGAATTACTAAGACAATGGGATTGAACACACCTTTGGCTGATGCAAGCTACATATATTATTTTACTTTGAGACCTGTTTTATTGCCTAGCTCCTTGGATCCTGTGTATTATTACAGCATCCTATTATTTTTTTGGTAAGTGAAGATTATAACAATGAATTAAAAAAAGGTATGTGGAAACATAGGCGGATCCTGACCGNATTATTACAGCATCCTATTATTTTTTTGGTAAGTGAAGATTATAACAATGAATTAAATAAAGATATGTGGAAACATAGGCGGATCCTGACCATGTCTATATCGTACGTTTAAGATTTTACCTTACCATTGTATCCGTATCGTGTTGTATCCACATCCCATATCCATATCCATATCGGTCATCCTTCACAATCAGTTTTCCAGATTCCTCACTAATAGTTAAAGAATTGAAGATATTTTTAGTTATATCGTGATGGTGGATGAGCAAGCTTGAAGTACCGAACTAGTGGATCTAGGGCCACTGGATAAATGTGAATTTCTACCCTTTATATCGAGTATGAAAAAAGAAAATAATCCCTATTTACTAGTAGTATGATCAACTGTTGATTTTCTTTTTAACTTAAGCACTGGTTTTCATAAATAATTAGGCCACATCAGAATTGGATTAAAGAATTGTTTTATGACTGTTAAGGCATGATACTTGTCATAAGCCTACAATAACCCGGTTCAGATAAAACTGAAATATTGGCATCCACATGTATTACCTTATCTTGCAAACTTGACTAGAGTGTTAGTGTGAAAGATGTTAAAGATCCTTTTGAGTGCAGCTGTGAAATTGTTTGTTGTTTCATGCGAAATCTGTTGATTAATGTTGCTTATCGGGAAAAAAGATCACGATGAGTAATGTTAGTGACCAATGCCAAAAATGACGGAGTATGCAAAAGACAACAGTAGTGTATATTTGGGAACTGAACCCGTTCCTTTTGTTAAATATATTAATGAAGTATCCCGTCACTGCAATAATGTGAAGGTGCTGATGGGGACGGGCAAATCACTGGGTAGTAAGAAACTCATTTTTGTTCAAACTTCAAGGTGAAGTATTGTAGATATAGTTCATAGAAAATATATTAATGAGGTTATCATCATACAATTAGCATTCAGGGGAGCTACTGCAGGAATTACATAAACTCAATCATCAATATATAAATTGTAGTTACCTTTAAGTTAGCATTAAATAGACAACATGTGTATAAATCACCATAATATCCTACACGGGTAAGTCAGATTATTGTCATGCAGCCATAACAAATACAAGAGGATCTGAGAATGACTATGTTTTTTCCTATTAGACACATTTGGTTTTTCAAAGTAGCTAATCTGTGGTTCATTCATTCGATCTATGAGACATTTGGTTCTCATTCCTTTATTAATACACTTCACTTCTTTTTCAGGATTTAGTTGATATCTTTCACTTAACTCTGATTTTTTGAATGGCATGGAATTAATTGTTTGGCTTATGAGAACTCTTTTCCTTTTTAAATTTTTATCTAGCATTATAGCAACAAATTGAGAAATATCCTTCGGTATCAAGAAAATGGCATGCATAGGATCCAATAAAGCATATTTAGAGTGTAGAGGAGGCAAAAGAAAGAAGATTAGAAAGAGAAGACTAGAAAAATAGGGTTAAGGAGAATGAGAGTAATTAGTCTCTCCTCTCATTACCCATACTTATATTTACTCGTAATAAAGGAACGATTACAATAATGCCCTTAATTGAAATAACTTAATATCCTACACTCTCCCTCAAGTTGGAGTATAGATATCTCTCATATCCAACTTGCATACATTGGAATGGAAGATTCTAGTACGAAGTCCCTTAGTAAACANTTAATATCCTACACTCTCCCTCAAGTTGGAGTATAGATATCTCTCATATCCAACTTGCATACATTGGAATGGAAGATTCTAGTACGAAGTCCCTTAGTAAACATATCAGCGAGTTGTTCCTTGGACTTCACAAATGGCTGCAAATTAACCCATCATTGAGCTTCTCCTTAATAAAGTGTCGATTAATCTTAATATGTTTAGTTCTGTCATGTTAAACTGGGCTATGAACAATATTAATGGCAGTCTTATTGTCACAATACAACTGCATAGGTTCACAAATAGATATCCCTAAGTCTTCCATTAAGGTTTTCAACCACATAAGCTTACAAATATCATGAGTCATGGCCCAATATTCGGTCTCTGCACTAGATCTCGCCACTATTGCTTGCTTCTTGTTCCACCAAGTTACTAGATTTCCTCTTACAAAGGTACAATAACTTGTAGTGGACCTCCTATCCTCGATTGAGTCTGCATCTATGAAAGCTTCTATTTTCAAATCTTCTTGCTTTAAGAACAATATTTCTTTGCCTTGGAGATGATTTGAGATATCTTAGTATACGATNAAGCTTCTATTTTCAAATCTTCTTGCTTTAAGAACAATATTTCTTTGCCTTGGAGATGATTTGAGATATCTTAGTATACGATGTTGATGAAGAACTACTCCTTGGGCTCCTCGTACGTACTTAACTGATTGTTGTGGGTCTGCATATGCTGTGTCTGGGCGAGTATGAGAGAGGTATATAAGTCTCCTAACAAACCTATGATATCTCCTCCAATTTGATTACCTTCATCACTTCTCAGTTTGTGGTTTGCCTCAATATAGGTCTACAACCTAGTATGTCAGTTTCCTTCTAGAGGTCAAGGTTATACTTCCTTTGTGAGATGAAAATGCCTTTATTTGACTTGGCCACTTCAATCACCAGGAAATAGCATAATCGCCCCAAATTCTTAATTTCAATTTTTTTAGCAAGATGGACCTTCAGTTTGGACACTTCTCCACACCATCCCCGGTAAGTATTATGACATCAACATATACTATAAAAATTGAGATCTTACAACTCCCTTATTTGATGAATATTGTGTGATTTGTATTTTGCATGACTTAACTTGTAGTCAAATTTAACCATTGCCTTATGAAATCTATCAAACCATGCTCTTGGAGATTGCTTTAGTCCATAAAGAGACTTCTTTAGCTTACCTAGTTTTCCTTTTGTGGCTGACAAAAAACAATCTAGAGGGATATCCATGTACACTTCTTGCTCTAAGTACCCATGAATAAATGCATTCTTAACGTCGAGTTGTTGTAAATCCTATTCCAGATTGGCTGCACAAGAAATGATTACACGAATGGAATTTATCTTCGCTATAGGAGCAAATGTTTTCTGATAGTCAATGTCGTACTTTTGAGTGAACCTCTAAGCTACTAGTCTTGATTTGTATCTATCCACTGTACCATCTGCATTCTTCTTGACAATGAATACCCTCCTACAACCTACTAATTTTTTTCCATCCAGAAGAGATCCAAGCTCCTAGGTTTCATTCTTCCCAAGGCTCTCATTTCTTCTACCATGACTACTTTCCACTTGGGTTCTGCAAGGGCTNCACCTACAACCTACTAATTTTTTTCCATCCGGAAGAGATCCAAGCTCCTAGGTTTCATTCTTTCCAAGGCTCTCATTTCTTCTACCATGACTACTTTCCACTTGGGTTCTGCAAGGGCTTCTGCCAACTTTGGGGAAGAGATATACAAGACGAAGATGAAACAAAAACATGATAAAAGGAAGACAAAGAGTT